TTGAACTGCAACATTTCCGGTTTTCTGAAACTTGCAAATAAGTTTTGCCACAATGTCATGTGTGATGCTCGTTGCATGTTTTCTGCTAAAGTTTCAGGCAACCATGCGTCTGCTTCCCCATCCAGCCGTCAGTATAATTTTAATTCTTTGCTCTTTTGTCAAACACATCTTCTTGGGCATCTGGATTATAAAAGAAATAATACATATAACATTTTCTTATGTATGGAAACTTATGGGCCACCCTCTATATCCCATACTTTGTTGTTGAAATATCTGTAAATTTGTTATATTTGGTGCATATTCGGTGCATCCCTTCAAGATGCTCAGACTTCCTGTTATCAGCTGAAAGCCTTGCTCTCTCTTGTTCTCTTGCAGCCTGAATGAGCAGTTGACATGAATTTGATTTTTTACATCATTGTGTTTATTCTTGCTTCATTTTTTTAATTCACTCATGCTGAAAATGACCATCTTTGAGTTTTCTTCACTTAGTAACAACATTTTCACCAAAGACTTATGTGGACAGCAACTCTGTGGCACCTAGATGGAAGACGATGGGTTCACTGGTCTGAAATAGATAGGATGTCACTGGTCCAGTACTGGTCACCAGTTGGTTTTTCTGTGCATCACTTCTTTCTGATTCAACACAGCTTACCCTGTGAATCTTTGTGCTCCTGTTAGTCTTTGCTGCCAGTGGGCTGCGTGCGCTCCGTCCCATACAGCGCTCAGTACGAAGAGGCCTACAAATGCAACTTCCTGGGTCTCAGCCCAGACGTTCCTATCCCGGCCCACGTCAGCTCCTCAGGTACAAAACGACCCCCTGATCTCAAAGTTGCCTGCAGGCCACTTTGGGATGAATGTGTGACATCTGCTCTGTTTGTCATGCAGAGTTTTCAGTGCTGGTGGACGTCGCGTTGAAGGCCTGTCAGGGTTCAGCTGCAGGCGAAGATGAAATCTGTTCACTTTATCAGTTCACCATCAGCAGCGCCAACACACAGCCGACAGACAGAGGTGAGGCTACATGCCGTAAGCTGGTAGAGGTCAGAGTATTTGATGTTTTTATTCAGCATCTTGTTTAGATTTGTTTGCTTGTAGAATGGACAAAATGCAGCACTTTCATTAATAAAAGTGTTTTATAACATTCACTGCATATACAATCATATTCTATAAATATGGAAAAGTTCATTTATTTCAGTATCTATATTCACTAAGTGAAACACTTTATACTGGTTAATTATACAGACTTATGAATTTCTGCTTATATCTCCTGAAAACACAACATTTAAGGTTAAAATATTACAAATAAGACCAGTAAAAAAACATTTTTAAAACACAAATGTGGATTTAATGAAAAGTATGTTTAACACCTACATAAAAGTTGTTTTAATTTGACAAACCTCATCAGAATGCTTTTCTAATTTACTAAGATTAAAAATTTCTGTAAATTGTTGTTTGCAGAGATTAAAAACCCCAAATTCAAAAAAATATGACTGTGTTAAAAAAGAGGTTTTAAACATGATTTTGTGAAAACTGGGAGGTAAATTTCATTTATTACCATTTAATAAATCAACTTAACTTGATTCTGATATTTCTGTAAGATAAATAACAGAACTCTGCATAGATTGAAACGATACTTTTTTGTGTGTAACCTGGTAGCTGTTAGGCATTGTGATTTTAGTTTTAGTTTTCAGCAGTCAAGGCCAGTCAAACACTAAATTTTATTGTTCTTATGTGCTTAATTTCTACTAGAGAATTTAAAATACTAGATATAAAACAAAGCTGAAAGTCTAAAGTCATACAGACAATTGTAACATTGGAAAAATAACTTGAAACATGAATTAATCTGTTGGTGAAACTAGTACTTTTTCACAAATATTAGAAAATAATAAAAACACTTTAAAATAAATTGTAATTCTGTATTTTAGACTCTAATTGTTGTGATTTCTGAACAGGATAAGCTTTTGTGAAGGCACTCATTAATAGTGATTTCAGCCGGAGAAGCGGTTGTGCAAGTTATGACACTGTTCAGAGCATAAATAAACTTTAAGGATCTGGCTCCACGTCAGGAAGTCATTCCGGGTCACTGACTCCCCAGACTTCTCTGCTTGAATTCAAAATTCTTCTGTAAGCAAGTTGTTCAGACGGCACAAATCAGAGGCAAACCTGTGTGATCTGGTTTGTACGACGAGTTGTGAAACTAAGACTTATTGAATCTCTACAGTGTTTTTTTTTCCCCCCCAGGTCCAACATTGCTGAACAAACTTGAAGTGGCCCTGTCTAACGAGAACTTGTCTGTGGATGTTGTGTCTCACTGCTTGCTGTGCCTGAAGGAGGAGTGGATGAAGTGAGTAAAATAACAACACTGCAAGAACTCAAAATCTAACCAAGTATTTTTGGTCCAGTTTCTAGTGCAAATATCTTAGTATACATGAAATAAGACAGAATTAACTCCCAAGTAACTTTTCAGCCAGTTTTAAGTCAGTAATTCCTTAATATTGTTGAAAAAGTACTAGATCCACTGCCAGATTATTTAAGAAACAATTTACTTAAAACAAGTTCCTAAATCAGTTTTGTCTCATTTCAATTGTAGAAAGACATTTGCAGTATAAAATAGATTAAAAATAGGAAGATTTTCTGTTTTTGCAGTGTAATATCAACATAGATGTGGGAAAGATTTCAGTGTTCTCACTGCAGGTTTTCACTCTTTCAGCAAAGTCAAAGTGCTGTTTAAATTCTCCAAAGTGGACGGCCGGGGCAGGGAGGACACCCAGAAGGTTCTGGCCCTTCTCGGCGCCACGGGGCCCGGCGAGGAAGACAACGTCAGGCTGTTAAAGTACTGGATGACTGGACTGAGCAAAACCTACAAGAGTCATTTAATGACAGCTGTGCGAGGAGGGGAGAGGAGCCCCAGCCAGTGATAAAAAAGAGGAGGAGGAGGCAGGACATGGCGAAGAAAGGAAAAGTGACAGCAATAATTTCTAAAGCTGAACGAAGCAAGAGTGAGTCTATTCATGGGTAGTTTGGTTGACTGTATGGATTCAGTGTTGAATGAAGGAGCACTGTGAATGGATGACAGAAATTATTTTGCTCATCCATTATTGTCTTTTTAAGTAATGAGAAATCTATTGTGTACTCGCCTCAGATGATTATCCTGCTCAGATTAATACATGGAGTAATTTTGGATAAAGCATGGCGGCCTTTTTTGTAAAGGGAATTCTTCTATAGGGCCTTCCATTATGTGAAGTTTAACTTATTACCGAACGTTTTTCCACTTTGTCTATTAATACAGATGTGTCCTGAAGAAATAAACTAATTCTGATGCACTTTATTCCCAAATTGGCTCCATCTGGTGGTGAAGTGGGGAAATGAAAGGAGTGAAAGTGCAGGACTGTTTCTCCTCCAGCTCCCACTCACTTGTTTGACTGGAGATCAGCCAACAAGTCTCAAGTGGTGTAAGACAATACTTTTAAGGTTTTCTGCAACTCGATGTGCAAAATGGTTGCATAACAAGTTCTTGCACTAGTAGGGCCACGACATCTGCACATTTTTGGCTCCTTAACGAGCCAGTCACACACTGATCCTCTGTGCTTTTTCTGTTGTTTTTGAATTTTTGTGTAAATCCAAAGCGTCTCTTGCTTTGCTGAGGCCCGCAGACTTCGGTCAATAAAATCCGGCAACATACGGCTCTGCTTAAATCGGGTAGATTTTCCTTTTTTCTATTGGTTTTACTTGACCTGAAACTATGTGATGATTGTGCAACGAGGGTTCCTGCACAGTCTGAAAGACTATGGATTCTGGTCTGGATAAGTGTGGAAAAAACACAAGCAAAAAATATTTTGGTTGCCGGACTTAATTTCCTGTCCTGCTGTCAAAATGTTGTGTTCATCCACCCATTAACTTGTCAATCCTTTTATCGACCATACCCCAACGGTCATGTTTTCTTTTATCACCTCAATATTAGCCAAAAAAGTACCAGTGAAGTCTGGGATTTTGACATGGGTAGGAACCCTGTGCAATGAAACAAGTTTGGGCTCATGCTCTGCTCCAAGACGACATTCATAAATACTGGATTGACCGGCGCTTTCGTTCTCGATGCAACGTGTTGACTAACTCTTCTGCTGTTATGCTTCTCCTCTCATAACTCAAATCTGGATTTCATTTGGTCTCTTGACTCTGCTAGATCCAAAAAACATTATTTCCAAATTGCTTGCATATTTTCTCAACTTGCAAGTGATGCATGAAACAGGAAGACGGCACAATGGCTGAATATTTATATCTGTCATTGTAGCGCATTGTAAAGGTCGAGAGGTTTCCACTTGATGATGCCTCTGGGAGTTTTGGAGCTGGGCTTTTTTTTTTTTGCTTACAATGGGTTTTGCTGCTACTCTATAGTTTCCATTCCCCCTCAGCAGAACAAGCGGTCCACTTTCCTTTGACCTTCAATCAGAAAGAACATAAAGAGAAACAACTTTTTTCCTCCCTCCTTTCAGTAGTAATTAACCTCCTTCTTGACACGTCGCTGAAATCCGAAGCAACAGGATGCTGCAGATGACCTGAGGCCTCGCATCAACACGTTGCAGACAAGATGTTGACAGCTGTTCGCAGTGCTGGACTTCAGTATCACATGAGGCACATCTGTGAAGCTGTTTTTAATGGCAATGACTGTGAAGAGCTGCACTACATAGAATGACTTGCATGTTCTGGCAGTGGGGTGTTGCAATCTTGCCGGATTGACAAGGAATGTGATTCTTTGTTTATTTAAAGCAGAAACAAAAGCGGCCCATGTGACGATTAATCAGGATGATTCTGAATCTGAGGGGGAAAAGACAAGCAGATCTGCAGGCAAAGAGGTGCGGGGGAGACTCCAAATGAGAAACATACGCTCCAACTGCATGACTAAGCCTCCTCAGCCCCTGTTTGGAAGGGGGGGAAGGGGGTGAGGGTGTCAGGGAATGTGGGGAGGGGGAGGGGGGGAGGGAGCCGGGTCAGTCAATAGTGAGGTAAAACGTGTGGCGTGGGAGGGGCCGGGACTTAAAGGGAACAGGGGCAGGCAATCCAGCGTAGCACTTTCACTTTGAACGGCGCCTGTGTCTGAGTGGAGAACACAAGGAGTGACCAGAGGAAGAGGAGGGTGGCCCGCGTCTCTGCCGTTTTATTCATTAAGGAAACCAGGAGCTTCTGAAATTTAGGAAGATTCAAGGTCTGTAGTGCAAAAAAAAAAAAAAAAAAAAGGGGGGGAACAAAAAAAATCTATTGAAAACGAAAGAAGGCTGGAGCCACTCTGGGATTTAGAGGGAAAATCCAAAGTGAAAGAGAATGATGGCTTGTGGAGATTAATGGGTCATATTTTGGAAAGTACCAAAGGAAACCAAAAGAAGAGAATGCACTGAGGGATGTGAGCAAGGGGACTGAACATCGACCGCTAAGAGAGAGGAAAGGCAGAAGCGTGCTCTGTCAGAGACCTCAACAAACCACAGAGGAGGAAACTTTGCCTTTCACAGAGTGACACAGCTGAAGAGTGATTGCTGTCAACAAGAGAAATGGAGAAGTGTCCATTCTTAGAAAGATAAAATGCCAGGTGAGAAATCGTCCAGTGACTGACTTTAACTTTTATTTCCATGTGCGCTCTTGTAGAACTTGTAGAGCAGACTCTTGCTCATGCTTATTCAGGTATTACAGCAGACTTTCACTGCATGTGTCGCTACCATCTCAGCCACACTAATGTCTTGGAGTTGGAGTTGGTGATACAACCGCAGCTCAGAGTATTTTCGTCTGTTTTCTGCAGAAATGGCTATATTGACACAGGATATGTCGAAACGTTTCTTTGTAGGTATGCAGCTCGAGAAGATAGAAACCACAGAAAGTTTCCACCTATTATCTGAATGTCATCTGCTCCTTTCATCCTCACTCATGTGTCAAACAGGTCTACTTTTGCTGCTGCTCTTCATCGTCCAATGTGGTGGATGTGACTTTGACCGGAAAGGTGTTGAAAACATAAAGGCAACAATCGACTCTAATCCAAATGGATTTGTAAGTCTTTACTTTTTTTAAAATCAACACCTTCGTCAGTGAGGATGTGATGTAATGATGTGAAGGAATAGAAAATAGCATCTTGTCAGTAAGCGTGCCAGATCAGAGAGGGAAATCAAACTATGTGATGTTTTGCTTTTTTTTTTTAGTCACCTAGAAGATTTGTAACAATTACAAAAGATAAGCCTCACTTTATCAACTTCAGTACAAAGATAAATCAGTTCTGATCTTTGTTTTTTTTACTTCTCTCTCCTCCAGCGGTCTGTGTTCCCTAAAGATTATCGTGTAGTGCACCACTACACTCGAAGCATGCTGTGCGAAACTGAGCCGGTGAGTTTAGTTATCAGTTAAACAGAGGGAGCGGAGTCTCGCATGTCATAAAACTGCTGGTGCCTTTTATAGAAACCAACCTCCTCTTTTGGGATAATGTTTGACTCCATAACATGGATAATTATTGCCTTTCTCCCCAAATCATTTACAGATCTTAGGAAAGAAAAAAAAAAATCTGAATTTGTGAACAGACTGCTACTGCAGGTGCTCTCTAGTGTCACTTGCACTCGAGTGCCACTGATGTGGTTCTTGTGGTGATTCGTCATGTGTCGTGCTTGCTAACTCTGAGGTCTCCCTGCAGTGTTGCGTGTTCTCGGCAGCAGTGGTTCTCGTAGAGTCCTGGCATGTGCTCCTCACAAACCTGTGGGATCAGCATCTCAATTACACCTTCATCTTAGAGCTGAAGCAGACACTGGATAGAATTGTTGAAAAGAACAAAAATATAGAGGTATGAGGTTTAGTCTTTACAAAACAAAGGGACATTTGTTAATTTTCTGACATACTAAATTTGATGAGTTTTGTAAACTTATAGAAGGAGTTGGAGCTGTACATGTCACAGCTTTTATGACTTGTCTTGAGTTGTTTCTCTAATAATCCTCCAGCCTCTAATTGCGTCATTTCCTCTTCCCAGAGTTTCAAGGAGGAGACGGATTTCAAGCAGTACCCATTGTTGTCTTCCTCCCCAGAAGAACTATTAAATCTAACATCAGAACTTTTTGCCCGGTGGCTCCAGGTGGGTTGCTCACCTTCAATTGAAACTTGTTTCCCGCCCACGCTGCCCCCGTTTTTTGAAAGGAAGGACTACGGTCCAGTGAGGGGCAAACTATTGACCACTCGAGCCATCAGACGCGAGGAAGACCAACCTGAAAAAATGATAGACAATAAACCTCCATCGTCCTGTGGAAGATCTCGATCCCGGCCTTGTCCAGCGGCTTTCTGGAGCCCCTTGTTATTGTTGCTGTTATTTGGACTCTACTGGTAGCAACTTTGTTTTTTATTTTTTTTTATTGCACAATAATGAAACTTTTACCTGGCACTGAATGAATTATTTTTGAGTTTCGATGCAGTAAGCTTTGCTAAAATGAAGTGATATGCACAAGCTGAATTAAATGCCAAAAGTCAGCTAACTTTGCTCTTGTTATATCAAATATATATAAAACCTTATAGTCACTCTCTTGGTTGAAAAAAAAGCCACAAGCTCCAGCTAATTGTGCTTTCCTTGCTAACAAGAGATCCAAACTGAGCTAGTCGGTGCACATAAGCCATTCTCTGTGGTTGCCTCACTGTTTACAAATGAATGTTGTGAGAGTTTATTCCTGTAAGTAAATGTAAGTTAAAGACTTTTAGGTATTGTAGCATTTGGTTTAAATTAGAGTGATCCAGTAACTTATATTTATTATTACGGTTCTTTTGTTGTTTGTCTAAGATGGAAGAGTGCATTAGCTCTCGTGAATGAGCTGAAAATCTGAGGGCAATAGTTTAGCATTTATAAGACAGTAAATGTTGCTGCATGGATCAATGCTCTGTTACTGAAACAGTAAAATGCTTCTTTTCATACCTATGATTTTGCAGCTTCCACGTCTTTGAGATCCTTTCTTTTGCTTCGTTTGAACAAAGTGGTCTTTAAGTTACTTTTTGTTCCTGCAAGATCATTTGGATGCTTTGGTGGTCCCCTTCAGCGTTGAGATGCTTTTGTTTATGCCCCTAGATTCCTTTATCTATTCATGTGAGGTGAACTGTGATGTGGAAATGTCGGGTGAAAGCAAAAAAGAAATTCAAAGATAAGCTGCAGACGGGGGAGGAATGCATCGCGGCGGCCTGGCTTCTGTCTGAAACTATAAGAGGAATAAAAGTGAAATCTTTAGGCGAGCACTTGCCCCTGCTTGCACACACACCCAGACATGTAATCTGTACCATTGTCCTCACCCTTGACGTGCATTGCCTTGCTGTCGCCATGGAAGCGCCATGTTTGGCATGTTCATTGTTTATGAGTTTGTGACAAGATTTTTGCAAGGAGGAACAAACACATATTTGCAAAAAATGGGGACAGAAATACTTCAAATTTTGAAACGTGAACTGCTTCTTTGTACCTTTTCCAGTCTGATGCATAAATATTTAAGACGTCTGTCTGCCTGTCTGGAGGAATAAGCCCTGGTTTCCAGTCTGCAACAGGAGGACTGATGTCAGGAGGTTTCATAATTTCCGTAAATAGGCTTAACTGTGATTCACTGAAACCTTGTCTTGGGGTGGGTCACCGAATACAGATGACCCCGGTTAAAAAAAAATTCAAATAGAAAGAAAGCATATATACAGAAGGGGGAGGCTTTCTGGAGATGTCAGGTTGACCATGCACAATACAGCCAACAGTCTGGTGTCATGTTTTCGAGAGAAATCTTTCAAAGACTGCTTTTTCCTGGCAGCGGGGAGCCAAGCGCCAAAGAGGCCAGCTGAATTCCCGTAAACAGGGTGGGAGAGAGAGAAAGAGGGGAGAAGAGGAGGAGGAGGAAGAGGAGGGAAAGGAAGGGGGAGGACGCTCAAACCACGTGGGCGTTTCATAACCCGGAAGTACCCTTCCAAGATGTCTGCGGCCGATGAGCACGCGTTAAACCGAGGAGAAGAAGGCGAGATGGCAGAGATGGAGGAAGAGGTGGAGGAGGACGAAGGGGTGGAGATGGAAGATGAAGGAGTGGACGGAGACGCGGGGAAGAAGGTGTACGTCCCCGGCATCGAGCCGCTCCAGCCCGGAGAGGAGCTGGAGATGGACCGCTCCGCGTACCGCGTGTACCACGAGTGCCAAACAGGCGAGTTCAGGCCCGGCCTGCTGGATGTGCTCCTCAGTCCAGAGTCTGAGGGTTTTTCCCTGTTTTGACTTTTCCTTCAGGTGCTCCGTGTCTGAGCTTCGACGTGGTGAAGGACGGAGACGGAGACGGCAGGCAGCAGCTGCCGCTGTCCATGTTGCTGTGCGCCGGAACGCAGGCGGAAACAGCCGCGAAGAACAGGTACAGCGCACTGCAGCCCACATGCTGCTGCACATCTTCCACATACTGCTGCACATATCCCAGAGGACTGCTGCACATCTCCCACATGACTGCTGCACATATCCCACATACTGCTGCACATATCCCAGAGGACTGCTGCACATCCCAGAGGACTGCTGCACATATCCCAGAGGACTGCTGCACATATCCCACATGACTGCTGCACATCTTCCACATGCTGCTGCACATCTCCCACATGACTGCTGCACATCTCCCACATGACTGCTGCACATCTTCCACATGACTGCTGCACATCTTCCACATGACTGCTGCACATCTTCCACATGACTGATGACTGCTGCACATCTCCCACATGACTGCTGCACATATCCCACATACTGCTGCACATATCCCACATGACTGCTGCACGTCTCCCACATGACTGCTGCACATCTCCCACATGACTGCTGCAAATCTCCCACATGCTGCTGCACATCTTCCACATGACTGCTGCACATCTCCCACATGACTGCTGCACATCTCCCACATGACTGCTGCAAATCTCCCACATGACTGCTGCAAATCTCCCACATGACTGCTGCAAATCTCCCACATGACTGCTGCACATATCCCACATACTGCTGCACATATCCCACATACTGCTGCAAATCTCCCACATGACTGCTGCAAATCTCCCACATGCTGCTGCACATCTCCCACATACTGCTGCACATCTTCCACATACTGCTGCACATGTCCCACATGCTGCTGCACATCTCCCACATGCTGCTGCACATTTATGGTACAAACAAAACCAAAGAGAAATGATGGGTAAACTGTAAATACCTGCGTGGCAGAGGTTATTTGTTCTGGTGATTGTTTGGTAGTTTTAGTTCAGGTTATTGAGGGAAAGTTGTTTTGTTTTTTTACACTCTGTAATAAACAATTGATCGCATCAAAATAATCTCAGTTATTTTATATACATGATTAATATTAGTGAAAAATAGCATTATTAATCATTATTAACATTTGTTATCAGGCCTGTTGCAGTAATCAAGAAATGAATGAATCATGTAATAAATTAGTTCCCCATTGACCGCTGGGCACCAGGAATGGATGGATGTGATCAATTAAAATGAGCTCAATAATATCCATTCACATGGTTTATCATTTGTCTCTTCTATTTTTGTCTTTCTACCAAAACCTGGATGATAAAAGTCTTCAGTCTGGTGCTTTGGTTCGTTTGAAAGACAGTTTTGCTTGCAGAGATTTCAAAATGGATTTTATTGGTCGTTTCTGTTGTTTGTTTGTTTTTTATTTTGGGTATTTAAAATGTTTTCCGGTTCCAGTTTTAAATGTTCATTAGAATTTAAAGTATATCAATCTTTTAGAATGTGTTCTTGATTTATTGTGCCATTGCCATTTTATTAGTTGCAAATATAAAAACAACAGTCTTGCTGCTTATGGCAATAACTTCGGGGACAACAATATTTGTTTTTGTGGCAGGTTTAGTGAAAAGCCTTGTTTGTTTTCTCACAAGTTAAACCATCTCAAAGGAGTTTCTAATACTGAGCTGGGACACATTTGGCTGCATTTCTCCTCTCATTTTCACATCATCACTTGTCAAACTGTCTTCCGTCTTGATCGTTTCTGCTTAGTGTTTACTGGAGTTAAGGTGATCATAGCATGTTAAATTCACATTAATGCATCACAAAGGACTGGAGCTTAGCTTAAATTAATCTGTGTGCATCCTCACAAATGCACCAGTTGCATTGATCAGTGTTGCTTTGTTTCTAGTGCATCTATGATGCTATATCAACAACTTTTTAAAGCTGCAGGTTGTGTTTGTCTTAACCATTTGCTCTTGTTTTGTTGTGGAGGAAAGAGTGGGAAGGGAGTGTCTCGAGAGGCAGCAGAAATGTTACATCCGCCGCATGTTTTCATCCAGCTGATCTGATCCAGCCTTGTTCCTGTGTTGGGACATAGACATGGCAAAGGATTCTCTGTGCTTGTTTAGTTGAGCAGAAAGCAAATGTTTACATGAAGTTAACAGGACTGGTTGTAGTTTTAGTATGCACTTAAAAACAGATTGCGTGTTTGCTTAGACTCCAAGTCAGTTGTTTACTCTTTTCTCGGACAGATTGAAGCTAAATCCATAAAACTGTTGTTTTGTTGAATGTGCAGAAATGTGCATGTGCAGCTTTTCACCAGATTACTGAAGTTTGATGTATTTGTGTTTGATTTTTTTTTGTCTTAAGCTTAATCACTGTGAAATTTGTTGCATAAGCTCGTTTCTTTGTTCCTTTGCATTCTTGCACATTTTGTTACAATCAACCATAAAAACTTTTAACATGAGACCACAATATAAATATAAAACATATAGAACATTATGTGTTTAATATTAATATAACACATACTATTTTATATTCATATTGTACAGTGGCTTTAAAAAAGTATCTTATTGTTTTAACAGCACCATGATGATCAACAGTTAGGCTTTTTTGACAAAACAAATTATAAATTACATTTATTTTATGTTACATATTATTTAATTTCTTTATTTTATTTTTTTTAACATTAAAGTAGTTTTAGTGTATTTTTATTTTTCCCTCAGGAAAGCCAAATGATTGTGATTAATTTTGTAAAACATCCAAGGGGATTAATGCTTTTTAAAGGCTCTGAACATGTTCAGGTGTGAAGTTACTGCAGAAATGCATTGTTTTTCTCTCTCTTAATCAGTAATTAACCTAAATTATCGATTTTAACTTTTGTCAAGTCATAGTTTTAATCACTTCATACCAATTATTCTCTTTTGTGACCTATCATTGGAAGATTTAGTATGTTTTGTGTTTTTCTTATCTTGTCCTCATGACAAAATAGATGGGAAATATTCATAAATAATATAAATAAAGTAAATAATTGTTGAACTTTATGCCTATATTTGCATCTGTAGTAACTGAAAAGAAATGTAAAAATAGAAATGTAATTTTTATTAAACTTTTGAGAACAAGTAAAAGGAAGAGGAAGTGTTGTACTCGCCAATCTTTGCATTGCATTTGTATATTTACCCCTTTACTCTGAAGACCAGAATAAAATCCAACCTATTGTGTTAAGAAGTCATCTTATAAATAAACTAAACAGTCCTCCTTTGATTATTTTAAACTCAGTAAGATGTTGAACTAACACATTAGTTAAACTCTGAACAGTTCCTCTTGGCTCTGTTTCATATTGTGCAACATTATATTTATGACTACATTAATGAATGACTGTCGGTGGTAAAAACAGACAATACACCCAGATAAAAGCAGACTTGTTTGTGGTGAGTGGATTTCAGGTTGGCTCTCGTGTAAATCTCACCTGCCAGTCAGGATTTCACTGAAAATCTGTCAGAACTTGTACATAAATCGAGTCTGTTAGAAGGTGGTGGGTGTTTTTTTACTTTCACTCTCAAGCTCCTCCGTGTTCACGTTTCTGGAAAATGTGCCCCTCTCGCTGCAGACTTCTGGTGATGCGCATGCACAACCTTCATGGAACAGAGAAGGAAAACGAAGAGGAGGAAAGCAGCGATGAAGAGGAAAGCGATGAAGAGGAGGAAGAGGATAAGAAGCCACAGCTGGAACTGGCCATGATGCCTCACTATGGAGGGGTTAACAGAGTTAGAGTAAGTCTGACTTTTTTTTTAATCAGTAAATTATAATTGCGGCACAGACTTTCTTTAAAGGGGAACTAATTTGCTTTATTTAACAGGTTAGTCAGTCTGTAGGCTCTACAAAATATGTTCTTTACATTTCTTGCAGATGATCATTCTTCAATAATGAGGTTTTATTTGGACAATTCTGCCTAATTTGAGCTCCTTTCAGAATGAGCCATTGTAGGGCTTCTTGTAACTTTAAATCCAATTTAGCTGCTGCTGGCGATGCCCTCAAACTCAACATTTACCCTCACACATGGAAATGGCTGCAATAAATACACAGTTATACAACCGTACATCTTCGAAAAGCTGACATAGAGCCTCCTGCGCAATCAACAAGAATGCAACAAGTGGTTTCTGGATGGTAAGTCAACAGCAAATCACTTGTCTTTTCCAGCTGCCATTGTACAGCCCAGTGGTAAAACCAGCTGACCAGATATGCTGGTGCTCCATTTGGGTTGCTGGGTAGCGCCACAGCATTTTAAAAACCATTGGATAGTTTTTAAAAAGGCAAATTTGTCACACGGCCAAAAACATAAACTTATTTTGAAAAAACATGAGGACGATTTTATTTGTTTGTTGTTGTTTTTGAGTTTCTTGAGCGTTTCAAACCCAAATGTAAATATAAAACGTGAATTATAACAGGCCCCCTTTAATGACTGACTGAATTCATTTTCAGGTGACCCAGTGTGGCGAGCTCCCATTGGCTGCAGTGTGGTCGGACAAGGGACAGGTAGAGATATTCGACCTTCGACCTCAGCTGGAGGCCGTCCACAGTTCTGCTGCCATGGCGACGTTCGTCCAGCAGCAGAAAGAAGCTACACCACTGTTCAGCTTCTCAGGACACATGAGTGAAGGCTTCGCAGTTGATTGGTCCCCTAAAGTCCCAGGTGAGTCAAACTTCCTCCTGAAGACAAAAGGAAGAAAAAGAAAAACAGGAATTTTTGCTTGAGGCCAAAAATAACAAAAACTGAGGCTGTAATTGAGCTGGATTTCACGCCATGATCCTGTTGAAAGGAGAAACTGGTGATCAAATCCAAACATGACTTCAGGATGTAGGAAGCATTAAAATGACAGAAAAGTAAAACAGGAAAAAAGGGTTTTCAGTTGAGTTGAATGTTTACAAAGTTAAATATGGATAGCATTTGAAATGGAGGAAATTTAAGGGTGTCACTAAGCTGAAGATTTAAAAATGTGGCAGGAAGTGATCCCTGGTTGATTTTGTTCCTTTGATTTTTAATAGAACGGTGCATCTTTTCCAGAGAAACTCGGATTATTCTAAGAATGCAAATTCAAAAACACTATTTAAAGGGACATAGGTTTCTGCATAGATACTAAATACTGCTATCGATCTGCCCTACTTGATTATCAATAAATACAGGTCCTTACAAAAGCAACTACACTTTCTTTTTTTTTATTTTATTTTGCAGCAGAATTAAGGAAACTTTATCTTAAAGCCTGATATTTTTATCCAGTCCATCAGAGCTATAAAAAAAACTCATAAGGACTGGATTTTTAATGGATTCTCCTGCGTTTTCCTCACCAGGTCGCCTCGTCAGCGGCGACTGCAGAAAGAACATCCACGTGTGGGAGCCTCGCGAAGGTGGAGCCTCGTGGCAGATCGACCAGAGACCGTTCAGCTCCCACAGCCAGTCGGTGGAGGATCTGCAGTGGTCTCCCACCGAAGCCACAGTACGTCAAGACACTGCGGGTCACAGTCACAGGGCTGGATTCTTCTTCTCTTCCTTTTCCTCTCAGATGAAAGGAGTGACGGCTTTGAGTTGGCGATGAGTACATGAAATCTTTGATTAGACATGCGTTAATGATGTCACGCAGAGCTCACCTGCTCTGCAGGTTTTTTGGTTGTGGGAAATGCAAAAAACAAGTAAAACACAGGGCGTGTCGAGTGAAACCACTGAGTGGATGAAAGTATGTTTATTGTAAAAGAACACCTTGTGCGCTGCAGTTGTGTCGCAACACAAGGTTGCAGCTAAAATTGAAACAGTCCTCATCTTGTTTGAGGTTTGGGAGTGACGAGCTTGCAAATTGAGGCTGGCTTGAGCCTTTTGCCAAAAAGAAGAAGAAGAAAGAAAAGAACAACAGTTGCTTTGTTTCAGACTTGGTTTATGTTGGTTGTGATTCACTGCTGAAGTTTAAACAATTGAAACGTTTCATTTCTTCCTCCAGGTTTTTGCGTCTTGCTCTGTTGATCAGTCCATCCGTATCTGGGATATCCGTGCCCCGCCAAACTCCATGCTCTCAGCCAACGAGGCTCATTCGTCAGACATCAACGTAATCAGCTGGAACAGGAGCGAGCCGTTCCTGCTGTCAGGAGGGGACGACGGACTCCTGAAGGTCTGGGACCTCCGACAGTTTAAGGTGAGACCCAACACCATTTTATCCAGAAAGACCTCAATAAATTAGAATAACTTATAGAACTGAATTTATTTCTGTAATTAAATTTGAGAGGTAATACTTGTATATTTCAGAGTGACTTTAAGTACAGATTAATGTATTTCAAGTGTTTATGTCTTTACCTTTAATGATTATGGCTTACAGCAAAATTCTCACACAATTAGATTATTGCACAAGACCAAATTAAAAATGTATTTTTTACTGAAAAGCTGACTGAAAACTATATCCATGTTTGCTGGTCCATAAATCACAGCGATGTCATGATCACTAAACCAGGTGTTGGTTCTTGGGCACAATAACAAATTTTTCTGGACTAATTGTTCAAGAAATTATTGCAATAAACGACAATATTGTTTTGAGACCATTTGTGCTTCTCCACTGTTTCTCCAGTGGAGAAGCTCTGGACGGTGATTCCCATATGAAATTCAAACGTAACATTTATCTGAAGACTTGTTCCTGAATGGGTTTGCTTCATAATGTCATCCAGGCTGCAGTTATCCTTGTTGCTTTTCCACCTTTTGCGCTACATTTTTTCCTGAAACCAAACTTTCTATTAATATGCAGCTTCTTCAGCAAATAACTTTGGTATCAATGACTCCAGGCAAAACAAGCAGCTTGCAGGCCATTTTATGCCCATTGAATTACATTTCTCTGTTAAATTTTCTTTTTGGTGAGTTTCATTGATTGCGATTTTCATATTTAAAAAAAAACTAAATTGAGATTTTTTTCTAGCTCTGAGCCACGATCAGTAAAGCAGATAGAAACCAGGAATCTACAACAACCTCCTGCTTTTTAACTGAATTACTGAAGTAAATAAACTTTCCAAATACTCCTGTATATGTCAGACGATTCCCACTGAAACTTGAGGAAATTTCTATCATTGTGACATGAAAAACAATGTTTATAGGTTTGTATGTTGCATCAGATTGTCTGCAGCCTTGTTATTTATCCAGTTTCAACTAACCACAAACCCTTACTCCATTTCATGGTTGTTACACAATTTTACAACAATAATTAAGATGATTGTTGCCGCCCTTCTTTTAATCCGTTTGGAAATGCACTGAGCTGCAGTTCCAGGAGTCAAACAAGACCATTAATGCTGCCACAAAAACAAAGTTAACATGCATACGGCCAAATGTGGACATATAAAATGTGGGGTGCACCAATTCATCAGCCCCAATTTTCTTAATTAAGGGTGATTGGTGATTGGCCGATACTGATCTATGTACTTCAGCAAAAGTCTAAAAATCGGCCTCTGTCCTCTTCTACTCTGCAGTGAGAGGTTTGACTGAGACCGGACCACCAGGTCACATCTGCATATTTGCAGTTAACAATAGTCGCCCCACTGTTACAAAATCAGCGACTTTCTTGCTAAAGTTAGTGACATTTCAGCCAAAAAAAAAAAAAACTGGTATCGGCCAAATTCAGAATCAGGAGGTCAGTCTTTTTAAAGAGCAGTAATAAAATGGCCGACCCACATTAACCGGCGTCTTTAATCTGCAGACGGGTCGTCCGGTGGCCAGCTTCAAGCAGCACTGCGGCCCCATCACGTCCGTGGAGTGGAGCCCGGTGGACTCGAGCGTGTTCGCCGCCTCCGGGGCGGACGACGTCATCAGCCAGTGGGACCTCTCCGTGGAGTCCTGCGACGTGGGCGCCAGGGTGGAGGGGGTGAAGGATCTGCCCCCGCAGCTGCTGTTCCTGCACCAGGGCCAGTCGGAGATCAAGGAGATCCACTGGCACCCACAGATGCCCGGCGTGATGATCTCCACCGCCCTGTCAGGCTTTAACGTCTTCAGGACTATATCTGTGTAGGCCGTGGATGTGTGTGTGTGTGTGTGAGTGAGTGTGTTTTACATTTAGTCGTAAATATGTGAATGGAACTTGTAATAATGTATATAACCTGGCTATGTAAGTAATAACTATTTCTGACATTTACTGGCAGAGAAAAGCGCATAATGAATTATCTGTATGTTCTACAGATGTACAAACCCTTTTAGACGTTTCCTCTTGTACGCTAACAGTAAACAGTTTAAATTATGATCTGCTTTGTTTCTACTCTTAAAGAAAAAATTACTTCATGCTAAAAGAATATTCACAGTGTAATTAGATGAGAAGAAATTAGTCAATTTACCTCATCAGTGATTGACATAATCTAGCAGTAAAATATTTCATTGGGATTTTAATGGCTAGATCAACACACAGTAATGTGTCAGTTTAATCTTTTTGGGTTTTTGTAATACTTAAATATTATAGTCAAAATAATAATATAATATAGTCAATACTTAAATAATATAGTCAATACTTTGCAGAACCAGGTTACAGCTGCTCTGATTGGTTGTTTTTCACATATAGTGACTTATGCTAATTCTTTGCAAACTGCCTCATTCGCAGTAAGTTTGTGGAGCTGAATGGTTAGCATGCTTTCATAAACAGATTTTCAAACCATTTCATGCATATAATTTCCACTAAACCATCCCACTGCCATTATTCTGCATGGAGGTGAATCTTTCCCCAGTTTCAAGTCTGTTGAAGAGTTTTTTCTCTGGGCATATGTCATATTTATCTCCATAAAGAAAGTAATAATTTACGATCAGACGAAGAAATCTATGCCCATGTCATAATTCTGCCACGTTTTACGGTGAGTTCATGTGTACTGTTAGTTTTTCTATAACATACAGTTTACTGCTCTCAAATGATCACTTTCTTCCATGTTTGCTCAGAATCTTTTTCTTCCTTCCTCCTTTCTCTCAGTAATGTCTTTCTAGTTGCCACTTTTCCAGAGGTCAGATTTGCATGGTGCACCATTAATGGTTGTCCTGCAACCACGGAGATCAGCTACCTTTACAAATCAGGGAGACATTTTGGTCCAAGATTTTAATAACATTTGTATAGAGCCACTAAATCAGCAAGGCCTAGAAGTTTACATTTGACGCTTGTCTGTTCTACACTCAAATTAAAGAACTATTTTATTTGCAGGAGTTCAACTAAAATCCTTGAAGCATAAATACTTTTCCTACACTGTAGAAAACAGAATATAAAATGATTTGGGTTGGTTAAAAAAAAACACACAGAAGGAAAATAAATCATTGCACTATGGGTTTTTTTTTTGTAGAAACTTTATGCGGATATATTTAGGAAATTGGTAAGAATAAAAACCCCTCTATCTCCAGGCTGTCATTTGCAGACTGGTGTTAACAGATTCGTCAACTGGAGCTGTGGATCTCTGCAGCTCATCCACGGTTACCATTGATTTCCAGTTGTGCCCTGTTTTTAGTTTGTAATGTTGCATTAAACAGAGCTCTGAGAGATTTGTAGGGTGTTGTTTTCTAACCTAACTCTGCTTTAAACGTCTCCGTGACATTCTGCCTGAACTGTCTGCTGCCGTTGTTCTCTTAAGATCTTCACAGAACGGCCGGATTCGCATTGAGATTAAACTGGACACAGATGGAGTGTTTAACAAACTTCTGAGGTGGTTGGATGCACTGGATTTTATTTGGGTATTGCAATAAACTCAAATGCATGCTAAACATTACAGATTTTTATTAATTTAGAAAATCATGCATCGTTTTCCTTTCATTTCACTCATGTTGATCCAAAAGCTCAATGAAAAATACGCTGAATGTGACAAAATGAGAAAAAATTGAGTGAATAATTTAAGGTCCTGCACTAAAATAAGAACATAAGAATCATTTAAAAGAAGGAAATTGTTTTGAAGTGCAGTGCAATGTGATGACCATCATCACATTGCAACACAAATAAAGTTACATAACTGCTCATTTTTAATTGGAGGTAGCATTTACAAGCCCTTTCCTTTCTTTGTGGCAGGAAACCTGATATGTAGCCACCCCAGTCAAAGTGCCTAATTAAAATAGCAGACTCCTAATAAAGTGTAGAGCAGTTGGAGAAAGCATCCCAAACCCTCACATTATCCAAGCCTGGCATCAGAGGCAGTCAAAGCTGGTGCCAATAATAACTTTCTTTTTACTGTAATGTTTATTAAACCACAGAGTGACATTTGAGGGGGGGTTTTTAACCAGCATTTTCAGCAGAAAGGTAAAATGGTATCTCCCTTTTACAGCATTTTGCAACAAGCATTTAAGCCAAGAAAATTACGCAAGCAAAAAGTTCAAAAATACACAATTTGTCCTGATTTATGAGCGACCTTTAAGTCCCATGATTGTCTTCCTCTAACGAGAAGAAATACCATCGCTACAGCCTGAAGGACAGTTTGGGAAGTTAAAAATAAAACCATCTCAGATGTGGTTTTGGTCGGAACCAGAAAGCCTCACATTGCCAGATATGGAATGTGACAAATTCACAGTAACTCATTATCAACAACGCCTTTGTGGGCTGCAATGCTAAAGGGAAGGAGGCTGTTCTAAACACGCAATGCAGGACAAATAAGACAAGGATATAGCACAGTATGGAGTACAATAAGGCAAAGGATACAAGTCCCTTTAAGGCACATATAGGTAAAGGTCCATAAACACAGCACTGACTGCGTACAGACTATAAATTGGATATAAAAGAGTAGATTTAATCATGACAACCTGATCCATTTATCCTGAATCAAACTTTCCACAGAGCTTCAGTCTGACAGCAAAGTTTCCAGCTGAATGAAGCAGATCAAAGTGCTAAAAACTCTCTGCTGTTTGAGTGAGCAGATGATACAAAGTCTTATTACCTTTGTTTATAGTAATACCGTAACTTCCAGTTGAGCAACATGTTAACTCGTGCACCTTTGTTTATTTTAGCTTTACATTCAGATTGTTTCTGCGTCCCATTTAGCTGTAAAGTGGTAAATTAAGTAATATGTTGTAAATACAGTGGAAACCGGATCTTTTTACAGACGCGGGACAAAGAGACAAACTTTTTTTCCCTTCATTATCTGACATTAAATCGGACGAGACGTTTTTTTCCCCCGCTTCAAATTCAGACATTTGCATACATTTCCTCAGTATTTGGTTTCTTTCCACGAGTTTCTCACAGCAGTTTGCTGGAGTTTGGGCCCATTCTTCATCCCTGAACTGGTGTAACCGAGGCTGGCTTACTTGCACACACCTTTTCAGCTCTTCCCACTAATTATACAATTATGGCTTTGTGATGACCACTCCTGTGCATTGACTTTCTTTTCTTTCAGCCTGTTTTCTTAAATTTTGCTGTTATTGTTCAATTGAAACAACCATTTGTTCCCAAGCACTGACCTTTCGGTTGATGTCTTGAGATGCTGTCTAGATGTTTCCACATGTTCATTTCTCAAGATGCCATCTATTTCATAGATTAGTCCCTCCTCCAGTAAACACTCTTACATCATACTGTCACCTCCATAATTCAGGCTTGCCAGCTTCCGCCTTCTTCTGTATTACGTACGACGCTCATTCAGGCCTAACCTTTTAATTTTAGTTTTTTCTGACCACATGATATTTTTACAAAGATTAGTTTCTTTATCCCTCAGGGCTTTGCCAATCTACTATTTAGCTCTTTAAATGGGACCTGTTATGCAAGGTTCACATTTTGTACTTCTACTTTGATCTCAACTGTTTCTAAAAACAACCTAAGCACTTTAAAAAAAGCGTCCAGTGAAACATTAATGTTCCCTGGTGTCTGAAAAATTAGCTGTTTCAAAAATCTTGTGAATGTAACGTCACAAATAAATGCTACTGCCTCACAGCAACCCCAGCAAAGTCCAGTCCGTTACCTCTGCCAAAAGCTGCCAAAAGCAGGGGTTGCTGGAACTCAACCTGCGTTGAGTTCCAGCACCTTTGGTCAGCTGGGTTTACAGCTGTATTGGCTGTACAATGGCTGCTGGAAAAGACAAGTATTTTGTTGTCGACTCACCATCCAAAAACCACTTGTTTTATTCTTGTTGGTTATACAGGAGGCTCTACTTCTGCTTTTCAAAGCTGCACGACTGAATAGTTGCACATCTGTTTTCTGCCATTTTCATGTATGTGTAAACATTGATTTCTGGGGGGCGTAGCCAGCAGCAGCTTGTTTTGAATTAAAGAAACAAGAGGCCCTAAAACAGCTCATTCTGCTCAAAATAGACTGAACTAATAAGACTAAAATCTCATTATCTAAGATTGATTTTGTGCAAAAAATGTAATAAACATGTTTTGTATGGCCCATTCATCTGCCCTAAGCTGATCAAGGGACAGTTTTCACTGTGAATGATAATACTAATTTGATCAGCTTCACTCAAAATCTCCCCGTGGTCTTTTGCTGTTTTTAATGCCATTATTATCAACCAAAGTAATTAAAACTGGAAAGAAACGCTTTGATTTAAAGTCAGACAGTGAGAAAAGAGGTTATGTTTCTTTTCATGGTGTATGTAAATATCTGGCTTCGACGGTATTTTCAAACTGTTCACATGGAACGTGAATACCTGTCCCCTATAGACCGATTTCATCATCGGACTCGTCTTCAAATGAGTAGCCCCGTCCTTCCTCCTCCTCATCCTCCTCCGATTCAGTCTCTGAGTGGACGCTCTCTGACCTCCTCCTGTCCAGCTCGGTGACCCCGTCCGACTCTGAGCTGTGTGATGAAGAAGGACTGGGAGGCAAATCTGCATTGTGGTTGCTCAACTCGGGTTCTCCCGCCGGACTCTTCCTCCTCCCGCTGTCGTCTCTCGCCGGGCTGTGGCATCCCAGCTGATCGTCATCATCCTCATCGTCGTGGAGGTCATAGGTTTGACCCTCCTCCTCTTCAGATGGCTGGCGAATGATCTCCTCTCGCTTGTCACTGAACCTCACCTTTGGTTTTAGCCCCCTGGACTTCAATCCGTTCTCGTCTGGTATCCTGCCGTCTTCATCCAAGCCGTTCCCGTTCACGGACGTCTCCATGTTCCCCCTGATCGCCTTCGTTTCCACCACTGATGTGTCACTCCTTGGGCTGAGCACGGCCTCCCCGTTGGAGCACAGCGACAAACTGTCCATCACCCCTAAAACGTCCCCAAGGATCGACGGACCCAGATCCAGATCCAGGTCCAGGTCCATGGTCAAGGAAGACACGGACTCCGAGTGCTGCAGCTGTGGGCTCTGTGCAGCATCCACCCGTAGGTCGCCGTGGTTCGCCACCACCTCCGGGTCAGCGGCCGGCAAGATCCCAGAACCACTCAGCTCGGAAGTGGTCGGACTGGGACCAGCGGTGGACAAGAAGGAGGTGTCTCCAAAGGCGTCGCCTCCCCTGCCGATGTGCATGGTGTGGCGAAAGTCCCCCAGGGGGGCGGAGATCATGGTGGGGTCCAGGCGGTGGGCCCGGGATGGTTTGTGGAGTGGCATGGCTTGTGGGGGGAAAGCTGTGGGTGGAAAGGGAAAAAACATTAGGGGAAAGAAGACCGAGCTAAATGAGACAAAACACAAAGACACTTCCTGATAAGACGCGGCTGGGTTGTGTAATGCAGTATGGGAAACCTATGAGCCTTTTGGCACTGGTCCGGCTGTGAA